TAAACATGTTAGCTCAGTGATGTCTTGGTGAACTGTGAGTGAACTGTATTGATTTTTCTAATAAATCCTTAGAAACCTTCACACAGCATGAGGGCTGTTGGCATTTTGAAAAAGGTTAACAGGTAGAAGCATACATGTTTTACTTTTGTTTTTCAAACTTGTTTGTAAACATAAATATGCCCTTTTATTAAATAAATACACAGCAATGTTTTGTTTTGTTTTTTTTTAATTGCTTTTCCACAAATTGGTCTTAGGTCTAACAGTCCTCAAAACATTAGCCCTTGGGTCTGGCTTGGAATGGATTAGTAGCTTATCAAGCCAATGCCTTACAGAACAATCCTTTTTACATTCAACTGAAAGAAAGTCTCTCCAGGAAAAAAAATTTTTTTAAATTACCCAATGAAACCAAGACTTTGCACATATAGACAAATAACAGCAAAAGCAAAGCAAGTAGCAGTAAATTAAGTACATTAAGGGCATAAAAAAATATTTGCTAAATGGTACACCTCCAGGACAAGAGATCTAATGGGCTTACCCAAAGATCTAAGTCAATTACCAAATGGTATATATCTCAATCAAAGATCTAGGTAATTGATACAAAGACCTAAGCCTAAAGACCTTAAATGAAGACACTTTTTGTTACAAGTCCTAGGATAACAAAATGCACAGAGCAAGAAGAGCCCAGTGGGGCTGGTTGGAGCTGCTGAGACTGGCACCCCTGGGGGCAGATCCTGATGCAACTGGACCTTGGGGCCCAGTGAATATACTGTGGTCCAAGCATCCTGTAGAGGGTCTTCAAAATGATCTCAGTGGACGCTCTAGAACTGTCGAAGGATGATACAAGCACCACATAGTATCTGAAATAGAAATACAAGCCAAACCTACTGCTTACTACAATAAGAAAAAGTTATATTTGTCAGGTACTGTCTCTAGAGCAAAGCAGAATGCCAACAATCTCTGGGGACTGGGACAGCATGGAGTTCAGGAATTGGAGGGCAGTGAATGGATATCACCTTAAAGTGGGGTTACTCAGTGAGACTGCTGTCGATTGATTGGCACTCAGAGGAACGTTTATTGGGGTGAGTCCTACCCTAATTGGCTGACTTTCAGAAGTGAGGGCAGCCAAGGATTGGTTGGTTTGCAAATGTGTATTTACAAAACTGTATTGTCCCTGATCAACTGAAGGTATTTAAACAAGTAGCAAGTTTCCTTCTTACCATAGCTATAGAACAATCAGTCTTTTCCTAAGTTAGTTGGGAAGTTTGAGGAATGTTTTCACTCTTCCCCCTTGTGGAACCATCCCTTAACGTGTAAGACCATTTCTAGCTTGAGCATTCTGGTTCATCTGTACATCTTCTGTTCTGACAGTGGTGTGGTCTAACCTGCAAATCACCCAAAATCACACTTCTGAGGTAAGGGTCTTCATCCCTAAGCTTCAGTACTCACTATTGATGGTAATCTATCGATTATCTGTGATATTAATAGGAAAGCGAAGTCAAATTAAAGGAAATTAAAGCAATATATTAGTACATGTCCCCCAAAGAATGCATTTATTTGGAGAGATGAGGCTAATTGTTCACTTAGAAAAATTTTATATGTGAAGTGATGGGCATTGAGGAGGGACATGTGCTGTGATGAACACTGAGTGCTATATGCAACTGATGAATTGTTGAGCACTAAAAAAAAATAAATTAAAAAATAAATGATACAGTGTTATGAAGATAATTACAAAAAGTCTAATTTGGCGTGAAAGCTCACTTTCTTTTACCCTACTACTTCTTTTTCTATAAATCTAATGAGCATGTTGAGTAATTGATAGAGTAATTAATAGATTTCAATTCTCCAGACTCAGGTGCTTTATTGCAATCATTGATTAGCAGAGAGCAAAGATCTAAGGAGTCCCTGAGTCAGAAAGTCACAGGGTGAGCAACCAAAAGACATTAGACAACCAGAAACCTAAAACCTCCCAAACAACAAAGATCCTCCTCCCAGAGGAGCCTCTGCTGTTCCAAAAGAACCATTTTAAATCGGTGACCCTCTTTCTTCTGTCAAGTGAGTTGGTGTTGAATGCTGCACCAAGAGAAACGTCAATGCTGAGCAACATTTCGCACTGAGGTCCTAGAAAATGTGCTTTTCTGAGACATACGGAGTTCTAGGACTCACCTACAAACAATTCCTAACTCCAAGCAAACCATACAAAGAAAGTATTTAGAAAAAATATTTAACTTGAATTTAAAGTAGAACCCTAAGGGTTCTCATGGAACATGACAAGAATTGTTAAAACATGACACTTGAATCTTTGTTGGAAGGGCCTGTGGATGGGGGCTCCCACCCTGCTGTAGTAACAACTCAGTGAGAAAGGAGCATGAATCTAACACCTGTGAGGAAACATTTAGCTGAAACACCCTACGGACATGAGAGAAATCATCCTGAATACAAACTTAGAAATAAAATACCTGGAACATCTTTAAGAACACACTTCACTCAACATTAGAACCATGACGCCAGGGCAAATCCTTGCAAATCCAATGAGTGTAAGTTTTATTTGGGAATAGCTCATCCTCTGTAAGAACCTAGGTAAACTGTACTGGAAGAACACAAGGTTTTAGAGTGCACTGCCAAATACCCATACAAGCAGGCCTGCACGTAGGGCACTTTACGTTCAATTACAGGGACCATGACTGAAGTGATGGGCTTCCATGAAGCTGTCTTATCATACTTACACCCCCCCGTTTCCTAAGACTAATTTTTATAGAAATATTCAAATCCTACACTTGCGTGTAGGTCATACACCTGGATAAACAACCACTGTGGTCTCATCTCTCAGATGAATGATGAGCTACATCCTGATATGGCAGCCCCTTCGGATATAGGACTGGATCTGAGTGTACGGAAGGGCGAAATCTCAAGAGAGGGAGATAACCTGAATGCCAATCATTAGGAAAGAAGATGGCTCCCCAGAATGGAAACCTTGCAACTTTTTCCATTATGCAACAGAAAACTCCTACAAATAGAATGTGCAACTTTGGGGGGTATATCTCAGCCTTAAAGAAGGTTGGCTTTACATTGATAGTTTCATTGTGAGGCTCATTGTGTCTTGCAACTGAAAGTTGAGTATATAAAGGACTAAACATGGGCTTCTGGAGTCAGTCTGCAAAGGCTAATGACCACAGGGAAGGCAGACATGCAGTCAGGATGGGAGGGGCTGGCTGGTTCCCAAGAGTGTGCCGTATCTCAAAAGCCAGAATATCTGGTTGTGTGTTGCTGTATTTATTTCTACTTCGACAAAAGTCTAGTTTAAGAGTTCCACCTTTATATCAGCTGTGCTATAGAGAATTAAGGGGTGGGCACAAGGGAGTCACAACCCTGAGTGGCCAGTGTTACCACCAAAAAAGTGCTGAGAGGGAGGAGAATTTCGGGGGGGGGGGGTTGGGGGATGGTTTAACAGTCAGGACCAGAATTCTCCTTCAATTGCCATCTTTGGAAAATGGGGGGAAATGACTTCTCTGATGCCATTTTAGGATTGAGTTTTATTAAGAAATTGGTGGGTTTCCCTGTTTTATGCTGAAAAATGAAACTAAATATTGTGTTTGTATTTCTGTAAATGAATTCCCTGCAAAGTACTACCAGATATGCACTAATTATATAAGAAAGTTTACTATTGTTCCATCTCGGGGTGAGATTGGGGTGTAGAAAGGGAGATTTTCACTCCTCATTTTATGTATGTTTTTAAGGGTTGCAGTATTGTGGACTATTTGTTCCAATATTGATGATCTTCTTTTTGATTGTACAATACTTGGTGTTTCATTGTTCTTCAAGTAAATGACAGGAAGGCTATCATACAAATTTAATAATTCATATATCAACTAATATTATTTTAACCATAGTGTTCCTATTTACACTTCATTATTCTATATGACAGATAGGTCGATGTCTTTTGACTCCAATTTATAGATGTAGCCATGAACCGGTTAAGTGGTTTAGGGTAAAGAGAATGATCTTCTGATTTGGTCCTTTGTCTGAAAGCTGCCTGAGAGAGAGCTGTGTAATTCTCCTTTTCAAATGTACTGGGGTTACAGAATGCTGGGGTTTGGAAGAATGATATCTAATGTCCATGTAGTCTCACCTACCAGTGAATGATTGATCAGCCCAGAAATTGTCCCAAATTCTAACTGAACCAGTTAACTTGCTAGTTTAGTAAACCTAACCATTGTAATTTCTCCATATTTAGGCTGTCTTTTCGTCAGATAGTCCTTATTTCAATTCCCCAAAGATGGAAGTAAAAGGACTGGAATGGAAAGAAGAGCCCCTTTCCCAGAAATCCCACTTCTCTGGAGAAGGGACTATGTCGAGGGCCTGATTCTGTGGAAACCTGCCCAGAGGAGACCTGGGAGCACCCAACTGGGGAGAATCTAAGTGTTTGGAGTCTGTTTTCCATGAAAGTTGGGGGAGGGGAAGGACACAGAATAGGCTCCAGAGGAGATAAGTGTCCTGGTGAGTGAACTGTCCCAAACAGTCATAGGAAACTGACACCAGAAGAAATTCTAGAAAATTCCTTTAGGGAGGATTCACACAAACACAGAAAGTTATTAAAATTTCGGAAAATCAGGCTTTAGTTGTCCAAGGGTTTGGTAAGGATTTATAGCACCCTTTCGATTACTCATGTACCTTTGTCAGTAAATGATTTGTACTGCATGACCAGGTTATTTCTGTTTTCCTTGTTGAATAGGCAGCAACAGGGAATTCATCTTCATCACATTTATTATGCATGCTCCGTTCCTTCCATTTCTAAGATGTAAGCAAGCCCCCCAGCTCTGTCACCATGTTTTCACAGCTGAGGGTGGGCTCCACAGGCTGCCAGTTTCCCACACCCGACAATCGAGGACTTTCTCTTCCAGTGGGTGTGCAGGAGCCAGGCATCCGTGTCCGGATTCACCTTACCCTTGCCTGACAGGCATGAGAAGCTGGCTCTTCATGAAGCTTCTGCTGATCTTTTCCAGGCGAAGACCTCTGCTCAGCAGCCCCAGATGGTGTTCACTGTCCGCCACACCACTGTCACCTTCCAGACAGAAGGGGACACGTGGAGGGAACAGAAAGAGCAGAAAGCTGCCCTGATGGTGGGCATCCTCATCGGGGTGTTTGCACTCTGCTGGATCCCCTTCTTCACCACAGAGCTCATCAGCCCCCTCTGCTCCTGCGACATCCCCGCCATCTGGAAGAGCATCTTCCTTTGGCTGGGCTACTCCAACTCCTTCTTTAACCCCCTCATCTACACAGCCTTCAACAAGAACTACAATAGCGCCTTCAAGAATTTCTTTTCTAGGCAACACTGAGCATGAGGCCTGGGAATAAGAAGGAGCTATCCCGTAACTCAGTGAAATTTCCAACGCCATCTACTTCCCCATCCCTACCCAGCACCACATTGAAGACACAAGCCCTCGAGGCTCTCCAGGGTTGTCTTCAGAACTAGCCCTCACTTCCGAACTCCTAGGTAGGAATGTGGGTCTTCACAGGCAGTTTGGGTGACCTTCTTGATCTAACTTACCTGTTATTGCTCACTCTGCACCTAACAGCCACAGAGTTTGCCCACAAAGTGCCCTTCCCCCCCCAAATCCACTCCAGTGTGGTCATCGTCCTTGCCCCAGAGAGGTCAAACAAGGCAGACGAGAGGGAGGGAATCAAGCAACATGGACAGGTTGGGAATGAATAGAAAATGATGAAGAAGTCGGAATGGGGACATCCGAGGGGTAGGAAATCATAATTCCCAGTTTTCTGGAATAGTGCCTAGTTTGAAATTCCATTCTGTAGTCCTGGTAAGTATACCCTAGTACTTGTTGTGTATGTCCCAGTGTTTGGCTACAAAATATTGTCTCTAAACCTATTAAAGTACATAGCCACAGCTGCAAGACCAGTGAATATTGGCTTTAAGGCTTTGTTTGTGGCAACCATGCACGTGTGCTCTGAGCACGTGCATGAGCACGCACACACACACACACACACAACTGTGGAGGAGGTGAAGGTTCCACTTGGCTAGTTTATTCTAAAATTCAACCCATCAACTTGGAAAAGAACTAAAAATCAAATACCTCCATCCATTCTGAAGCAACTGTGCACAAAAAAATGTTACAATCCACTGGTTTTGTAGAATCTCTCAAACTTGCTTATTTTCTATGGGTTTTATTTGTATGGAATTTATTCAGATGTTGCAGGAGTAAGACCTCTAACCTTGGATCATAGGATTCAAGGAAAACAGTTGTCATGATGGGTGGCTTATCTCAGTATAGTTTCACAACCAAGGACTGTGAAGGCGCACTCCCCAAACACGTACACTTTAAAGGGACCGTTGGTTAATTTGCTGTCTTCTTATTGGTGTGTGAATCCCTGCTAGGAGGCCAACCGTAGCAACTAGTGAGAAAGGCAGAAATACGGTAAAATGTGGCCTCAGTCCCTCACAAAGTGACATCTTTATATAAATGAGTCAAGGCAATTAGGTGGTGGTACAGCATTTATATGATCATAGAAAACCCAGGCCATTAGACAAAACTTTAAAAAGGTCTCAGACAATAAAACTGGCTGTGGTCCGCTACGTCCCTGATTCTTTGAATGCATGAATTTTAAAATTATGTATTATAACAGTCTTTGAATTATTATAATAAATATATATATTTCTTTGTTTATAATAAATTATATCAATTAAGATTTAAAAAATAGGAAATTTATGTTAATTTGTTGTCTTGGTTGGAAGCTTAGTCTCGCATTTACTGCGAAGAATCTTTACTCCAAGAATGTGAGTGAATGAGAAAATGTTGCACAACTTCTGTGAGGTCATGACTGATAACGCTAAATGCAGACCTCATGTCTATGCACTGAAGCAAATTCATGGAAGAATTTACTTGGAAACATTCTTAGATTTTTTCTTCCTTCTGCATATATCACTTGAGGTGCCAAACCCACAGATATTTTAAAATACAGATTGTTCACTTGCTTGAGTTACCTTTCCCGCAATTGCTTGGAACCAGAGAGGCAACCAAATCTTATTAGATTCTAGTGTTATAATAAAGGAAGTGTTTCCAAAATTTCCTTAGTATCCCATAGTGGAGGAAGCTATACTCAGACACGGAGAACCTGGAGATGGGCCATCAGAACCAAGGGTAAAATTGTTCAAGTCTATTCTCTCTGAAAATCCACGTGGAATTCTTTATTATACTCCATAATTTCAATGTTTGTCTTCCTGTTTTTTAAAAAAAGGTTTCTTTCCTTCAAACTTTTCAGTACAGTGAGGCTTTAGGAAGACGCGCCACATTTGTCTGATGGCTTCGATAACTCCTGGACTCCCCCAGGATTCTATACTCCTTGTCGGAGAAAGATGTTGTTATATTCATTTCAATCTCCTACTGAGGTTATTAATATTTTTGTGAGATGCACAAGTCCCGTTACTATTTTTTTTAAGATTTTTTATTTATTTGAGAGAAAGAGAATGAGAGACAGCACGAGAGGGAAGAGGGTCAGAGGGAGAAGCAGACCCCCCGCCAAGCAGGGAGCCTGATGCGGGACTCGATCCAGGGACTCCAGGATCATGACCTGAGCCGAAGGCAGTCGCTTAACCAACTGAGCCACCCAGGCGCCCCACAAGTCCCGTTACTATTAGTATTCAATACGTATTTAACACCTCCCAGACGTCACTTAAACTATTCATGGTATGAAACACTCTACATATACCACCCAGAGCAAGAAACACTGTCCACAAGGAGGACGAAGTGGCAACAAATGCATCATTTTGCTTCCATTTCAATACTAAAAGTTGTCTATGACTAGGTAGGAAATATTACAAAATGCAAATGGTGGTCAAGCTAGGGTGTCTAGGGTGCATTTCGTCACCTGCGACTCTGCCCCGGCCCCCAGTCAGCCGTCCAGTGCCGACCAGCAGTCCGCATGCTCAGTTCTGTCTGTTCGCCAGGCTGGGGTGCTCGTCTTCCCGAGCAGCCCCTGAGTGATGGGGGCCAGGTCAGCTCTCTGCTGAGGGTGCCACAGCCCCGGAGGACCACGTCCTTCATGGGTCACCCAGCCACACCCCAGCGCTCTGTTCTGCCCCCGCCCTTTGCACGCACAGCTGCACACCCTTCCTGACTCAGACCATCTCTGGCCACCCCTGTGTCTCTGTTAACAGGAATGAAGAGGGTCCAGTCCCCCCACCCAGACAGGCACACTCCGCAGGTGGTGGCATTCCACACGACAGTCTCTCCAGGCTCCGCTGTCCAACTTCTCCGGGGGTGTCACGGGCTGAGTCGTGTCCCCCCAGGATTCGTATGTGAAGTCCTAACCCCCTGCCCACAGGGTGTGACTGGACATGGAGGCGATTAAGGTAAAGCGAGGTCGGGAGGGTGGGGCCCGATCCAGTGTGACGGGTGTCCCTATAAGAAGAGGAGGTGAGGACACAGGCACATGGAGGGACAGCCACGTGAGGACATGGGGGGAGGATGGCCTTCCACACGCCGGGGAGCGGCCTCAGGAGGGACCAACCTGCCGGCACCACGATCCTGGACGCCCAGCCTCTAAAACGGAGAAAATGAATTTCGTTTGTTTAAACTGCCCGGTCTGTGGTGCTTTGTTAAGGCAGCCCAGACACACTGACACAGGATAGGGTCAGGGTCAGGGTTATCCTGATGGGCCGGGATTTCAGGCAGAGCCTTACAAGTGACCTTCCCAGCCTGCAACAGGTCAGGGTTTCCACGTCAGCTGAAGGAGAAGGTTCACAAAGGCAGATGACCCAGAGCCTCCTGTTTGGCATCAGACAGGCTACCCATCCCCACTACCCTGACCAGGCACCCTAAGGGGGACAGAGCCCCGGCCTGGACTGGAAAAGGTGGGCTGGAGAGTGTGGGTCCAGAGGGGGCAGGAGGGCCGCCTCTCATTGGCCTTCCGCATCTTCCTGCCCCTCGAGGTGCTTGGGGTCCCCACGGGCACCGAGCTGCATGTGCAGCGGGGTTCCGGGGAAGGCAGGATGCCGACAGTCAGATCGCTGACCCCAGCTGCTCTAGCATCAGCAGGAACCCACGCCACTAGTCAGTACGTTCTTCATTATTTCACCACAGAGGGGCTGCCTTTCCAGGTCACCCGACAGTGTTTTAGAATCTTTCTGACCATGTACGGTTCGTCTGATGAGCTTAATTTTTTTCTGCACTTTAGAACACATCTAATGTTCAAATGAGGTCGAAGAGGGGAAGGATCTAGGGTCCTGACTCTCGCGGTGCCGGGTGCTGTTTTGCATGTGCAGCCACGGAGAGCGGGCTGACGGGAGCTCAGAGCCGCCTCGAGAACAGAACCGGCTGCCCGGCTCTTCTGTCCGTTCAGTTGGGGTTTTAAGGGAGGCCGACAGGTGAATACGAGACACAAGTGGGACAATGGTTCTTGGCGTCACCAAAAACACAGTAGAAAACAAGAGTTTGGGGGTGCCTCTGTGCGCATGTGTGCGTGTGTGTGCATGCTCGCACGCGCGTGTGATTCACAAGGAATGCACAAGGCTACAAAATTAACAGCCAGCTATGGGGCTGTAGGCTCCACAGCTTCAACCAGCCCGCGGTGGCTCGCCCAGTAGCCCGATGTCCAGCAGGGGAGCCTTGGCCCTGCAGCCCAGGGCGCTGACTCTGGCCAGTAATACACAGCCCTCTCTCTCTGTCTGGTGGTTTGGATTCTCCCACGAGGCACCAGCACCACACTCTACCCACCGAGACCTGGAGTTCGTTGAGCTATCTGGTAGGTAGGTAGGTTCCCCATCTTGCTCTTGCTGACCTTCACGGTCACGGTTTTCCCAATTTTGTTAAATACTATTTTCCAGCTGAAGCCCTACTATTCACATGTCGAGCTCCCGATCAAACGTAGCTGGTATTTTTTATTAACGGTGCATGAAGTAAATGCCTCTGTGCCTAAACTGACTTACGGAAGACTGTCATCTTTCTGATGCTGAGTCATCCTGTCCGAGAGCAAGGGACGTCCTCATTCGATGTTCACACATTCACTCCTTCCCACTCCTTCACCAGCCTGCCTTGTCTTACACTCTGCAGAGTCGGGGCCCTCACACCATCCGTGAGGGGGCTGTTTCCCCCTGGAAGCACCTGCTTTCCTGGGCTTGTCGCCTCTCCTTCGGCTGCAAAGCCAGCAACGTTCATCCCTCTGACCTTCTTCCATTGCCCACATGTCCCTCTGACTCACTTCTGCCTCCCTACTCCACTGTTAAGGATCCCTTGATTACATTGGGCCCAAACAGATAATCCAGGAGGATCTTCCTCTCTGCTGTTAAGCAACCTCTTAGCAAAGCAGCCGAGGGGTTCAGACG